AATATAATAAATACCATGAAAATCACTTCTGGATGCATTATATTCTAACTCCTGACAGTTAAACAAAAACTCTTGAACACAGCTAATGAAAGTGACACATCTTGTCTGGTAGGAAAGTGATTTAGGTGTCTACAAATTTCTCAGGAAAAAACATGGAGGCCAGAAAATGTCAGAACAGCAGCTTTAAGAAAGAAATCATTAGTCCACAATTCTATATCCAGGGAAAATTTCTTTTGGAAATGAAGGGGAACATGTCATACCTGTGCCAGAAAACACACCAAAGGCAGTTCTTTAGGCCAAACAGAAATGATGCCAGATGGAGATGAGATGAAAAGTTCAGAAGTGAAGAAGCAGCATGTAGAGCAGTTAGTGTTTTTATAAATATGAAATACTGTTGCATCTTAAAATATATTATATTGCTGTTTAAAGTCAAAATTACAACTTTCATGGCTAGACTTTTTTTTTTTAATCTATAGAAGAGTATATACAACTGAAACACAAAGGGGGAGGTTAAAGGGAACTGTGATGGCAAGGCCTCTGAATTTTACAAGTTGTAGTAAAACAGTAACACTAAATACACTGTAAAAAAATCAATACGTGCATCACAACCCTAAGACAATCACTAAAACAAACGAAAACCCGGGAGATACGGCCAAATGCTAATAGATAAATTAAAATGAGTGAAAAAGCAAAAAAAAGTTAAAATAACCCAAAGAAGGCAGAAAAGGAGTAATAGGGGAAACAAATCAATGAGGTGAGAACAAACAAAAATAATCATGGTAGATTAAAATCTAGCTGCATCAGTGATTATATGAAATGTGAATGGAACAAATGCATCAATTAAACTGCATTATAAGTAAGGTAAAGGGCAAGATTGTAAAAGAATCCAATTTTAGATGTAAGGATACGTAGGTTAACCGTTAAAAAGATGAGCTGGGTGCAGTGGTGCATGCCTGTAAACCCAGGTGATTGGGAGTCAGAGATAAGATTGTACTTTAAGGGCAGCCTGGGCAAAAACAAACCCTATCTCAAACAAACAAAACAGCGATGGTGGGTCATGCCTGTAATTCCAGCTATTCAGGAGTCTAGGTAGGAGGATCCTGGTGTAAAGCTAGCCTGGGCAAAAGTGCAAGACCCTATATAAAAAATAATTCAAAAAGTGCTGGGGGCATGGCTTAAGTGATGGGGCACTTGCATAGCAAGTGAGAGGCCCTGAGTTCAACCCCCAGTGCTTCCAAAAACGAAGTTCAGATAAAAAAAAAAAGTTACATGATGGAGTGGCTATATCATGAGACAGGAGACCTCACGCCAAGACTCTTCGCAGAGATGGTGAAAGACACCACACCAACGCTCAGTCACCCAGTGAGCATCATAGGCCTAAGTGTGATCACAAAACAGCAGCTACTTGAAGAAAACTGGAAAGAGTTGAAAGAAGAGCTAAGAAACCCACATAGCTTCTTGGCACTCTTCTCTCAGTGACCAACAGGGCGAGTGAGGATGCAAAGACTAGCACAGTACTGTTAACCACTGGACCTCATTGATGTTGCTGGACCATGCCATCAGAAAACACAGAATGTGCATGTGAGTTACTGCATCTCAGTGCTGACAAACACAGCACTGTTCTGCTGGTGGCTCTCCTCTGTCTTCCGCCCTGCTGCAGGCTTCTAGGGCTCTCGGTGTGCCGCTGCCCAGTGCAGGGATGGGCAGAGCAGAGTTATGCAGTGTCTTTTTGGTGGTTGGTACAGCTATTCCACAAATTAATGTACACAGTGATGGGTTCTTTATGACGTTTTCATGCATGTATCCAATGTATTTCATATTAGATGAAATGAGGTGACCCACTCATCACCTTCTCTTCTCCCCCTACCCTTTCTTGTTGGTCCCCCTCTCCAAATAGTCCCCTTTTATGTCTTTTTTCACTTAAAATATTCATTTATTCATTCAAAATAAAGATAAACCTGCAAATGACAATTTCATTCTTCTTTATGGCTAAGTAGTACTCCACTGTGTGTGTGTGTGTGTGTGTGTGTGTGTGTGTGTGTGTGTGTGTGTATCACCTTTATCCATTCATCTATTCATGGGTAACCAAGATGATTCTGTAACTTGGATATTGTGAATAGTACCACAGTTAGCACAAGTGTAGGGGTGTCTCTGTCGTATGCTGACTTTGGTTCTTGTGGCTATATACCCAGGAGTGGTGTAGCAGGATCATATAGCAGACCTGCTTATGAAGCACCTGCCAAACTGATTTCCATAGTGGCTGGACTAACCTACACTCCCATCAACACTGGATCAGACCGCAGTCCTTACCTGTATTTGTTGTTTGTGTTCTTGATGATTACCGTTCTGACTGGGAGGAGATGGAGTCTCGGTGTTGCTTTGATTTGCGTTTCTCTGATGGCTTAGGATGCTAAGCATTTCTTCATGGATTTATTGGCCATTGCTGCTTTGAGAGCTGTTGAGTTTATTGTCCCATTTATTGACTGGATTATTTACTGTTTTGTTGTTTAACTTTTTGAGTTCTTTATGTATTCTGGACATTAACCAGCAAACAGGGATCTTCAACTTGCATTCAGTTTTCTACAGATAGATGTGAGAGAAATAAGTAATTTAAATATCCCCCACCTGCTATCTCTAATCGGTTTTGGTGGGATGTTAGAACCACTAATTTTTCAGAATGTTTCACTCCTTAGAAACAAACAAAGGCTAATGTATGGGCTCTGTGTTTATTTCATGGTGACAATAAATGCAGATGGCACTAACAATAGCTAACATTTATTGGGTGTTTATTGTGAACAACACCAGGCTTTTTTTTTTTTTTTTGTGGTACCGGTGCTTGAACTCGGGGCCTACCACTTGAGCCACTCCACCAGCCCTTTCTTGTGATGAGTATTTTCAAGATAGGGCCTCACAAACTGTTTGCCCTGGCTGGCTTCGAACCGTGATCCTCCTGATCTCTGCTTCCTGAGTAGCTGGGATTATAGCTGTGAGCCACACCAGTGCCCCACTAACACCAACTTTCTAATGCTTTGGTGCATTCATCTCATTTGTTCATCTTCTTTATTGATTTATTGATTGAAGATTGATGGTGCTGGGGTGGAAGCAGAGTCTCATACATGCTAGGCAACACTGAGCCACACCCCAACCCATTTATTCCTCTTAACTCCTCTACTTTTGTCTCCATTTTACAGATAAAGATATAAAGGTCCAGATAGGTTAATTAGCTTGCACAAGTTCACTCTGCCAGAGTCAGGATTCAGTATGGCAGCATGATTCTGCAGCCGGGCTCTGGACCACAGCCCTCTGCACTCATTAGTTGCACAGCGCCAAAGCAGCTCATGAGGCTGCAGCAAACCTCGTGTACAGGTGTCCTGCAGCAGGGGGCTTGGAGGCCTAGTGCTAGAGAGCGAAAGGGTCTAGGACAGCCTGTGACTTGTTTCTGTACGTCCCCTCCCTAGCTGAGAGTGGTTTTTACATTCATAGGACTGTAAGAAATAGAACCGTATTGAACAGAAGGCAGTGTGTGACCTGCAAAGCCTAGACTGTTCCATTCTCTGTCCCTTCACACACACAAAACATTGCTAACTCCGGAGAGAAGGAAGGGGGATGGAAGGAGCTGCACTTGCAGGGCCCACAGGCCTTTGTTTTGAGGTCAAAGGATTTTCACAGCTGGAGTTGGTAGGGGCCACAGGGCTCAGGGAGAATGAGCAGAGGATCATGGACCTTCTGTGAGGCTGGCTAAGACTCTAGGCTTCAGGGCAGCATTCACACAGGCGGCCATGACTGCTTCTCAAGCCCCTCTCCGCTGTGTGGGTTGTCCGTGACAGACCAGGTTTAAGGTTTCTCACCTCCCACTTCGGAGCACAGGGAAGCATGCCAAGAATCTGAACTTCATCCTAAAGGCACAGGGCCGCCATTGCTGATTTAACCAACAGGACCATCACCAGACTTCAGTGCTGCTCAACAGATAGAGACATAGGAACATTCTATAGGATGGCTGCTGTTTGTGAATTTAACAAGAACTGCCACTTATTTTATTCATTCATTCATTGAATTTGCAGTGCCTGCTATGGAACCCAAGACTTTGCACGTTAGGCAAGGGCTCTATCACCGAGCTGCACTTCCAGCCTACAGTTCATTTTTAATTCTGAGTCCCTTGGATGGTTAGTGGGCCCCTGTCTAAAAGAACCAGCAAGGCAGGTCTGAAGCCAAGCCTTCATCCTGAGTGTGGGCTTGCAAAGGTGTCCATAGCTGCTCTTAGCGACAGTTCCAGGAGCCTCTTGCAATAGAATAGGCATGGGCCCCAGGTCCTGCTCTGCCGCTGGCTTGTGCATTCCCTGGCAGTTCCCTGGTGTGGCTGCAAGGCCTCGTGATTAGGTACACGGGCTCAACTTGCAAACTGCCTGAATTTACTTGCGGTGTACTCCCTGCACTCTTGGTCCCTGTGGAGATTCAGAAACACTCTTCAACTCCCAGATCCTCACTTCCAAATAGATCCAGGGTGGGGGCCTGGGTGGGGATATTGTTTTGAAGAACCCCTAGTGAAGCCAGGGAGCTTGCAGATGGAGAACACAGACTGTGGGCTAATGATCTTGGCTGTTTTATTGGCTAAATGGATAATTATGAGCAAGTAACTTTTTTTTTTCAGTTCTGGGGATTAAACTCAGGGCCTTGCTCTTGCTAGACAACCATTCTACCACTTTGGCCACACCCCCAGTTCTTTGGCTTTTGGTTTGTTTTCCAGATAGGGCCTTGGGCTTTTGCCCAGGCTGGCTTGGGATTGTGATTCCCTGCCTCCGCCTTTAGCTGGGATTACAGGCATACTGTGCCCAGCCTCCTTAAAGTTTTGATGTCTTAGTATATTCTCACTGAATGAAAAAGGTACAGATTGTTCCTGCCTCTTGGGTCACTGTGAGGATTAAATGAGGAAGTTAGTTCCTCAAGGAACATGGTTTGGGTTGTGCTTTTCACCACCTTTTCTGCTTCTTTTTTTGCTGCAGGTACCCTGTGACTCTCATTCTGATTCAGTGTTCTGATGAGTTCCCTCTCTTGCATGGTAAATGTAACTCTGCCATCCTGCAGGGCTAAGAGCAGGCTGCGTACCCTCCAGTGAGATTGTCCATCCAAGTCCTCATCAAGCCTAGCTTTGGGGACCTCTCCCATGTTCTCCCAAAGGACGTGCTGCACACTCTCGTCTGGCATTCGTCTGGGAACTGGATTCCCTTACAAGGCACTTGGTAAATATTGCATAAGTGAGAGAAGACTCGGCTCATTCATTGCTGATTACACAGCCAAGTGAACCCTTGTTCTCAGTAGTTGTGCCTACATCCCATGATGTCCACAGCTGTGGCTGGAGTGGGCAGGGCCTGCTCCAGTAGCAGCCTTCTCTCCAAGGGGGGTGCTACAAGGCTCTGCTTTTCCTCAGTTCATGAGTAGCTTGTTTGTGTTTGTTTTTGAGTTCTTTCTCTTGTACAGATGGCCTCAAGTTGCCTGAGTTGCCTGAGAACAGAATAAGTTAGCAAACCTTGAGGAAGAACCCAGGAGGTTAAATACCTGGTCTCCGGACCCTCCCCAGGGTCAGCACCGAGCTGCTTTATGTGGAAGATGAGCACACTGAACCCCAAGACTGCTCACCAATGCAGTCTGCTCAAATTGAGGCAGAGGGTCCCAGTTTTTGTTTAAAAGTGAGAACTATATCAGCATCACCTTTTTTTTTTTTTGGTGTCCATGTGGGAAAATGAATGTACTGTTAGCTTCTGGCTAAAGGAGGGCATTTCCAACCGCTATCATTTCCTAAGGGAGGCCTCATTGTCTAACAAAATGTCATTACTGCTGCAGCCAATGTAGTAAGAAGCCTGTGTTACAGACATTGCAGAGCTGAGGGTGGCTTTTCCTGGCCAGGGCAGTAATCTTTGCATGCAGAGGTCATACAGAATACACTTGGAAAGGCAGTTTCTTGATGCAGACCAGTACCTTCCTCTCTGCAGCTGCACAGAAACACTGAGCCTTGGTGGAGTTGTAACAGCTCTGTGCACTCCCTCATCAGTTCCACCAGCATTCCCATCGTGTCGGTGCTCAGCGAGTGCACAGCAGCCCCAGATTCTGAACATAGGCGTTCTGTCCCTAGAAGTCACTTGTAACCGGCACATTTCACTGCCTCTCCTTTCCCTGGGAGGTGTGTGTCCATTGGGGAATGGACACCTTTCTCTAATTCACACAAAGATACATTTTCCTTTCTCTCATGACTTTTTCATTACCCTGTTCTACCTTCTCAGGGCTCTGCCTTTCCCTAGAAAAAGGAGGAGAAAATGACCAAACTCCAGGTGAGTTGATTCTCATTTCTGTCGTTAATATGTCACCTCATTCATCAGAGAATGGATACATTTTTTCCCTTTTCTTGACCAAGTGTAAAGAATGACAGCAGTCATTTAATACCACTTATGTGTCTGGCTCTTCCTTTTTTTTTTTTCTTTTGTCCTCTAAAAATTTCATCTTAGTGTTTAATTTGATTTGTTATCTTTTCTTTTGGTTTTTTGAGACAGGGTTTCACTGACCTTAAATTTATGATCTTTCTGCTTCAGTCTCCTGAGTACTGGTATTACAGGTGTCACCACCAAACCTAACTTAATTATTTTTGTTTTACAAATATTAGTGTGAAAAAGAGCAGAAAAAATTATGTACATTTTACCTTGCTTACAAATCATTTGTTTTTTCCCCATGATCATTTAAAGAGTTTACATTCATAGCTATACTTGCAATAATATACACAGCTTTGAATTGGAGTTTTCCACTTAAAATAGTAGCATTCAATTTTTATCATCTAATATTATTTCAGTGAACTACTGTTAACTCCACCCTTTTTCTTTAAATTATTCCCATTAACAAGCTTCTAAGTTGTCCAGTGTTCTTGCTGCTCTACACTACAGTATCAGTTTTCGTATGCATAATTTTTTATTCAAGAAGCAGTTCTGAAAGAATTATCTTAATGTTCTAGAGACAAAACTAAGTATATATGCATATATATTTTCCTAAGATATATATGTATGATACCTTTAGGTATTAAGAAAAATACCTAAAGTGTGATTTTTGTCTAACCAGTATCACATTGAAGCTAAACTTCAATTGATATTTTCATAAAAGAAGTTATTGTCTTTCATCCAAATACCTTAAGCTTTCTGTGTGCTTCACTAATCATGTATTGATTTATTTTATTAGAGTAATATTGGTACTTAATTTAAAGTTTGTTACTCATCTGTAGGGCCTGCAGTCATTTTCCATCTGTCAGTTTCATGGCTCTGAATGACTGCAGGGATGTCATCCCTGTTGGAATCATTTGCGTTGTTACATGAAGTTTCTTTTCTTGGCTTGAAGTTACGAAGTTTCTGATTGAAGTCCTTCAGGTTTCTGAACCTAGTTTCTTACATGAAGTTTTATGAATCTCTTGTTTGATGTTCAGGAAGGCCTTTGCCTTGTGGTTCAAGAGCCTCAGATACTGCACTTTGGTGGAGAGAGACAAAAAAGCAAACCAAACCAGGGTTCTCCACTCAGAGCTAGGGTTGGATGCTCCCAGATTCCAGCAGAATAAATGCAGGTTGAACAGGTCTTCATATAAAAATTAAAGATGTACTCATAGCAGAAAGTTATAAGACAAATATCAAAGTAGAATAAAAAGTGATTACTATGTTTGTGGAAGAACAAACCTTAATGACCCCAAGTGAATGTTATTGTAAAACAAGAAACAGAGATGAACAGCAAATATATGGAAAGAGAATGGTCTTTATTACTAATTGATTCCATGAGATTTTTTTTAAATAAAAAAGCCTTTACTTTTAAAAAAGTTGTTACTTTCCAAAATTACTTCTGAGATTATCTAAGTTTTTTTTTTTAAAGTATTCATGTGCAGTATTGGGCCAATGTAGGATTTATACATTCTTGGAAGTAGAATAAGGTGAGGAAACCTTTTCTTGGGGAAACATCTGTCATTATGACTTCAGATCATTGAAGGTCATTATTTTTCAGCATGGCCATTTCTCCTTTTTGGTATATATTTTGAAGAGGTATTCATCAGAGGTCCAGGCTAAGGTCTGTAACTCTGGGGCATAGGTATGTAAGAGGGTGTTTTTTGCAACATTGTTTATAATAGGTAATCTAAAACCAAGTAAGTGTGTACTAATTGAATCAGCCATTTGTATTCTAGATCACTAGTTCCTTGAATAGCTATGCAGCCCTAAATGGGATGGAAGATAGAATGATAATGTTAATAAGGATAGCTAACATTTCTTGAGTACCTACTGTGTGCTTAAGTAAGTTCTTAAGTGTTTTTTATAGAGTCATTCATTTCATTTCTGGGACCCTGTGGTCTAGCCATCAGCATACAAAGGAGAGAAGAAACGTGTCAGATCCTCCACATAGTGGAGCGTCTGGATAGAATACAGACATTCAGGCCCATAAGCATGGCACCAGATGTGACATAGAGGGTGAAGCACACATTTGCGCAGTGAGGGCGAGTGAGAGCCTGCGAGTTGGCAAGTTAAATAAGTGTTGTGTGCACATAAAAGGGGAAGCAGACACCTTCGGACACTGTTGGAACTAAAGTTTCTCTGGGGCAAGTGGCATTATTGATAAAATCTAGACTACTAGTCCCCAGAATGCAAGAGTTCCGGGGACTCAACTGCAGGAGTGCCATCCAAAGGCAGCCACTTACAGCACTGGGAGTTCTTTCCTGCAGTCCTTTTGGTGGATGGGAGCAGCAGCATGGAAGGCAAGCACAGCAGATGCTTCAGTTTGTCAGAGTTCCTCAGAATCCAGAGCAGCTGACCCCCCATCCACTGACATGATCTGCATGTGTTTGGTATCATAGGAGGCGGTGACCTTCAAGGATGTAGCTGTGGTCTTCAGCGAGGAGGAGCTGGGGCTGCTGGACGCTGCCCAGAGGAGGCTGTACCGCGACGTGATGCTGGAGAACTTCAGGAGCCTGCTCTCAGTGGGTGAGGACGGGTGCCCTGTGTCACTGAGGGCAGCCTCTTGGGTGTCTGTGGGCACAGATGCTTGAAGCTCTGGGAATCCTGAAACTTTCCTGAGCTCAAGTGCCTAGAGTGCAAGTCATCCCTATGCAGCACAGGATGACGTTCTGCTGCCTCTGTCCAGGCAGCTGTGAGTGGGCAGGCTGCTTCATGAATCTAGTTTAGTAAGTTCCAGCCTCTTTGCTTTTTAGGAAACCAGTGTTTAAGTCCATATTTTCTTTAACAGTGTATTTGCAAGTAACCTCAGATTTGCAGAAAATTTGCAAAAGTAAAAGAACAAGAGCACGCATGTGGCTTTTACCCAGGGTCACTGATAGTAGCATTTTGCCTCCTTTGATGTAATGTGTATGCCCACATTCTTTCTCTCACCATCTGTACTTATGCGTGCATGTGAAAATGATGCATATTCACAATGTCTTTCTGAACCATTTAGGGGAATTTACATATACCATGGGCCTTTCTCTTTTAATACTTCCGTGTGTGAGCAGAATTTGGAGGTCCCCGAGACCACCCTGAGGCTCAGCTATTATGGTCACTGTTACCATTTATTACACGGTCAGGAAACTGGTTGAGATCAGCCAAGGGAGGAGGCCCCTGGGACAGAGTCCAGGAGCAGTCAACACTTGAAGCTTCCAGTTGTCCTTCCTGTGGCTTTATGCACAGTTTTAACTCTTCCCAGCACTGATGTGTGACAGTATACATGGATCAGTGCTAACCAGGGAGGTTCACTTGGTGTTCAGGGTTTTTATTGGGGCTCAGTGTGACTGACCTTAGATCTGGGACTAGCCAGTCCCTGCAGAGACTTAGCTGATTATGCCAGGCTAAAGCCCCTACCATAAATCACAGTGTGTGATGTCTAGCATGGCCCAAGGCCTCTGGGTAAGCAAAGGGACATTCCAAGGACTTAGACATAGCTAAGCTCAGACCTGTGCTTAGACAAGGATAATCCTTAACTGGAAGTCTGTTTGCAGAAATAGGGATATTCTTTACATATCATCAGTATAGATATAATGCTTTGATTATGACTTATTCTCTCATTTTCTCCACAAAGTCAGCCATATTCCTTAAAGAACATTATTTTCCTTCCAGACAGGACCTAGAGTGTAGTTGTGTGACCTTAGCCTCCTTCAATTTGGAACATTTTCCCAGCATTTCTGTATCTTTAATGACAGTGATGTTTTTGAAGAATATTATCTTTTTTCCCCTATTTTTTTTGGTTGAGGGGCTGGGACTGGGGTTTAAAGTCAGCGCTTCATGCTTGCAAAGCAGGTGCTCTCCTGCTTGAGCCACACCTCCAGGCCCCTTATTTTCAATAGAGCATTCCTAGTGTTTCCTCACAATTAGATTCTTATGAACCACTCAGGCAGGAACATCATATAGGTGGAGTGAGTGCTTTTGAAAGTCTCACACAGATGATGTAAATTTTGGTCACCTAGTAAAGATACTGTCCACTCTCTGTACTGCATAATCACTCATAATCACGCCTTATAGCTGTAGGGCGGCACCAGTATTTCCCATTGGACCTGGCACCCAGTGATGAGTTTTGCCTTCTCTGGTCTTCACCATGGTAATTCCAAAACGGTGACTTTCTGACCTAGTGCTTCCTTCATGCTTAGCTGTCAGCCCTTGGAATCCTGCAGTAGGCAAGAGCACCCCCCAAGCTTTAATTTATTATTTGCAGAGACATGTGAGTTATTTCTTAATGGTTTATAATTGGTTACTGTAATTATTTTGATGCCAGAGTTGTTCTAAATTTGGCTCCATTAAGCTGGCTCCTGTGCCTTTATCACATGCCCTGATTATTTTAAGCACTTCCTTCCTTTGTGGCATAGCGTGATTGATGTTTGTTGCTCATCTTTTACTTTGTCCTAGCTCAGAGCTGGGGGAATGGTATTTAACACCAGGATCTGGATGCTGGGTCTCGTCATCGCCACTGTGGTCTCTCGGTTTCTTGGTCTTAGGGGGTAGAGCTAGGAAGTGTGCGAGAGAGTGCGTGTGTATGTGTGTACAGACAAGTACACATGCATACATGTAAGTATGTATAAATATGAATAGATGCTCAGTTTCATTTCAAATAAGAGAAGTTTAATTTAAAAACTTAAATATCATTTCTCACCTGTTAGACTGACAAATTAAAACTTAACTACCTTTGTTGGGCAAAGCTGTGGGGAGTAAACTATCCTCATACACTGAACGCAAGAATGAAAAACAGCACCATCCCAAGGAGGGAATCTGATGGCCAGCAAAGCCAGATCTTCACCCTTCCGCAGCAGACCTTTTCTAGGGTTCTCTCTAAAGGTATCCGAGTGCCAGACAGCATTAATCATATAATGCAGTTCATGTAAGAAAGCAGGGAAAATAAGTAAATTTGTTATATACACTTATCTTTATAAGAAGAAACACAGGAAAGAAGGGTTAATCAGAACAAATGATGTTAGTTTCTTATTAGTTGGAGGTAAGAGTGGGAGGGATGTGGAAGAAAGCCACACTTGTCTGAATATACCTTTTTTTTGGTCTAGTTTTGACAAAGTGGACATCATCAAACTTAAAATTTTTGCTCTCCTTGCCTTTTTGCAGCACAACAACCCTTCAAACCAGATCTGATAGCCCAGCTGGAGAGAGAAGAAAGGCTTTTGACTGTGGAGACAGAAGCCCAAAGAGATGGATGTTCAGGTGAGAACTATGCAGCAGAAACATAGCAGCCAGAGAGTGGCTTTTTTTTTGGCACTGGGATTTGAACTCAGGGCCTCATGCTTGGTAGCACACACTCCACCACTTGAGTCATGTCCCCCAACCATTTTTGCTTTAGTCATTTTTCAGATAGGGTCTCACACTTTTTTCCCTGTCCAGCATCAGACACGATCCTCCTACTTATGCCGCCTCCATAACTGGGGTTCCAGTATTGTTTTTTGAGATGGGATCTTACCAAATTTTTGCCTGTCTGACCTTGAATTGTGACTTATCTCTGCCTCCCAACAGAGAACTGCTTCTAAAACAAGAGACAGAACATGTCAGTTCTCTGTCTGCCTCTCCATTGGCTTTCCATTTCACAGGTGTAAAGCTCTTTGTGTGGCCTGTTAGGCTCTGTGGTATCTGCTCCTCACCCACATTTGGTTCTGCCATTCTGTCTGTTCCAGCTGCATTGTTCCACTGCCAGTCAGCCCTGCCAGCTGTGCTCTGTGTCAGGTGTCTTGACTTGCTTTTCTCCCTGCCCTGAATGAGTTGGTGAATATGTGTGTGGTCTTTTTTCCTCAGTTCACTTTCAGACAGCTAATAAGTATAGAATAGATCAGTGCATTTGAAGAACATTCCAGAATGTTGATTGCCATCCAATGTCTGAGTGTCCAATTGACCAGCTGCCTGGGGTATTTGTAGATATGCAGCCATTATTCCTAAATGATGAGAATAGTCAGTCAACTAAAGTCAGTACCAAAAAATGATCAATGACAACATTGTAATTGGCCTTTCTCATGCAGAAATCTCCAGTGAGACACTCTTGAATTCATACTCAAGAGTATGAATTCAGCTTCTTCCCATTCTGTTCTCTCCTTTTGCCTAAATGATGTAGCCTTAGTCTTGACACAGAAAATTCAAGTTTGACATTTATATGAGCCCAAAAATTTTGGCATGTTTCTTGAGTCCTTGGGACTCTTGACATCATAAACCACTGTCACAGCCACTCCTGAGTAGGAAAACATAAAATTCAAAATGAATTAATTCACTTGTGTAATTTTTGTTTATATCTCAGCTTGGGGTCAGAGTCATACATAGTGCAGTGTGCATTCTTGAGGACAGGGCCAACAAACTTTTTCTCTGAGGGGTCAGATAGTAAATATTATAGGCTTCCCTGGCCACATACACTCTTTGTCACCTATTCTTTGTTTTTCTTACATTTAAAAAGTGTCAAAACCAGCCAGGTGCGGTGGTGTGCGCATGCAGTCCCAACACTTGGGGAGCTGAGGCAGGAGAATCCCTTGAGCCCAGGAGTTTGAGAGCAGCCTGGTGACATAATGAGACCCTGACTTACACAGGGCTGGGGGCACAGCTCAACGGGTGGAACACTCGCCTAGCAAATGCAAGGCCCTGAGTTCAGACTCTAGTAGTGCCAGCAAAACAAAACAAATTCCAAACATTAAAATAAACAAACAAAAAGTTAAAACTAATGTTAGCTCATGGGCTGTGCCAAACCAAGTCAGTCATGGGGTACCAGTCTCTATTCTAATACCATCAGTAGGAGCATGATTCCTTTTAGAATATCTTACTTAGCATTCTTACACACCATACTACTATGTTTATATATACTTTATATTTTTAATACACTACTTTTTCTCCTTCACGCATACCTTGGGGAAATCGTCCCATTCTAAGACATAACTTATTGCATAGTGTTCCAATTCATGATATAATGTCATCTTTTATCTATTTCAAATTGATAAACATTAGCTTATTTCAGTTTTAAAAGTAATACAGACAGTAGAGTAATAAAAATGCCAATCCAAATGTCCTATTACCTGGTGACTCAGATTGAGAGAGTAAAACCAGACCTCACTGAGTTTTAACTTTGGAGATGTCACCAAAGTAAACATAAGCATCCCCCATTGGCTTTCCTGCAAACTAAAGAGCTGACCTGTTCACTTGGGTGCAGAAACATTTTAAAAATCAGGATTCTTACAACCACTCTGTTGGCAGGTCTCCTCCAGAAGAAATAGCTTCGTTTGCATTTACACTGGGACAGGGGAGATGCTAATAGATAGTGGCCCCTGAAGCATTTCTTGCAAGGTTTTCCAGATCGCAGCCTGTCTTTCCCTCCCCAAGTCAGTGTTCACACCCTGCTCCCTAGACTCCCTTTTCCCATGGCAGGCAAGGGGGACTCGGGGAAGGAAAAGAGAATAACGAAGCTGTCTCCGTTCCCTTACAAAAATAGGGCATGTTATCTTTTCATCTTTATTCCCTGCAGGTTAGCTGTTAAATAAGCCACTGTTGACATGTTTGTTGACCTTCGCTCTCATTACGACGTAGTGTCTGGTTTCCAGCCAGAGAGCATTGCAGCCGGAGAAATGACATTGCCCTCTCACGCTCCCTCCATCCTGATTTGGGGACAGAGAGCGTCTTTCAAGCTAATTTCTTCCCTGTGTTTTCAGTCTACAGTTCATGTGCTCATCAGGAAACGAAGAGGTCCAAGCTTATCTGTTGATAGTTTCTGCGCTTTCACTTGGTTGATTAAGGGCTCTATACCTTCCTTACCTCTTTAGACTGTTAAAGACCATGACCCACAATATTAATTCATCTCAGAACAGAAGTCAGGATGTGTACATTACCACAGCCAAAACAAGCACTTCATGCAGAGATACCTACTCAATGAGGCACCTCTGGTATTTTCTGTCCTTTTTTGTTTGTGTGTTTGTATTATGTGTCACAATCCACTCAGCTGATCTCTAGCCTCATTCATTGCTCCCCAGCGTTAGTGCTCCTGTGCTGTTACAGGCTGCATGGTCCAGATCTCTACCCAGCTGTATCCCGGGACCTGCTTCAACAGTACGACCTGCCCCATCAGCCACTGCTCGTTGCCTTCTGTTTGTAAAGTGATAAGAAAAAGAATTTTACTTACAATAAACAGATGATTGAGAGTGCATGTCTACTTAAAGTCAAGTTGTCAACCCATGTAAGCAAAGATGGCCTGTTTCCATGGCACTGATTTGCTCATTCTAGCAGAGACAGAGTCAGCCACCCACTAGAGGCTTGCTGAGAGGAGGCCCACAGTCCCCAGGGGCTCTGGAGTGTCCTCGACGAGCTCTGCACCTCAGCACTGCTGCTTGTCCTTAGACCACCACCACACCACCGTGGGTTGCAATCTAAAGCTCCCAACTACATGGAAAGAAAACCTCCTCAACCATAGGGCCAGGCATCTCCACACTGGACAAGACATCCTTGTTCTGCAAACCAAGGGCTTCTGGAACTTTCTTTCAGCAAATTATTTCTGATTTTCTTTTCCAGTGTCATCTCTAATTATGCCCAGACCATCCCCTCTTAAGTCAGCCCTGACTTTAGTAATCTTCATCTTTCAAGTGTAGTAAGATACTCCCTGCAGTTTTTCTGGTGTTTTATTCTATTTTGTTTTGGTAATTTGCTGCTTCCAGCTATATCTAATCTGCTAAACTTTTTGGGATAGTATTTGGCCAGTTTTGATTTTCTCCACAGGAAGAGACTAGAAAGCAGCTCCTTTTTTGCCTCAGAAATTCTACCCAAATCCATAAATACTGAACCCCAAAACTTAGCTCCACTGAGAGGAAGTGCTCCTCCTCACCAGGGTGCACGTTTACCTTCTTTTATTATTATTATTATTATTTTGGCAGTACTAGGATTTGAACTCAGGGCTCGTGCTTGCTAGGAAGGCACTCTACAAATGGAGCCACTCTGCCAGCCCTGTTTTGTGTTGGGTGTTTTCAATATAGGGTCTTGCTTTTTTTGCCAGGGGTGGGCTTTGAACTGTCATCCTCCTGATCTCTGCCGTCTGAGTAGCTAGGATTACAGGTGTGAGCCACCGGCACCTGGCATGTTCAACTTCTTGTCAGCAAGTCCTCACAGCCCATTTTTCTGCTTTTTGAAGGAGTGCTGATCACATCTCGGTTATTGTTCCTGTTTATATTCCTGTCTGCAGTCCAGGCTCTTAGAAAGTTAGGACAGAATGACAGCTCTAAGGCAGATAGCAGAATTGTGAGGTGACACTTCAGATGCTTCGGGAGGCATCCTGTGAGATTTTAATTTCTCTCAACTGCTACAGAGAAGCTTTCACAGGCTTATTACCAAGATCAACTTGATGTGCACAGGCCTGTGCATGTACATCCCTCACCACGGATGTACGCACGAACATGCATACATGCATGCGCCAGAGTTCCACAGTCCATTCATGTAATTCTGATGACCCTTCTGTGTCCTGAGGGATCCTGAGGCTGGTTCCACCACTTGGGCACCTTTAGGAATCCAGGAGAGGATCTTCCTCTTTGATTAAGACTTTAGTATTTCCAGAATGAACAGTGAGCTCTTTCAGTGTGGCAGCTTTCCTAGTTGATTGCACTGTTGCTAATCAATTTTTATAAATGTCTTGAGTTTCTTGTAGGCCAGAATTCTCCACAGTGTTTTTCTTTTGGCAGTACTAGGGTTTGAACTCGGGGCCTTGGGTTTGCCAGGCAAGTGCTCTACTACTTGAACCATGCCCCAGCCCTTTTCCAGCAGTTCTTTAAACAGTCTTTCGCAGACATTATTTCTTTTACTCTGATCTCCTTCTCTGACCCAAATTGACAGTCTCTCCTCACAGTGAAAAGGAACAGGCAAGAGGTTGGTGTTTTTCTAAGAAAGTCCATAAGGAATCCTCATCTTTAATTCTGCATCTTTTAGGGTATAGTTAATAGGCACTGAACAAAGAAGCTTCCCATTTTTATCCATAGTCCTGAGACTGTTGTTAGCAGCCATTTCCTTCATTAATTTTTATTCCTTTATGACTTAATTTGAATATCAAACACCACTGTATTAATAGTTGCAGTGATTTTAACTTTATATGTTAACTTTAACTGAATTTTAAGTTTTTTTTTTCTGGTGGTATTGGAGTTTGAACTCAGGGCCTCACACTTGCTAGGCAGGTGCTCTACCAGTTGAACCACTACTGCAGTCCTAAGTTTTAACTTTTAACTCAACTTTTGATAAATATTTTGCGATATCTTACATGTGCTAATCAGAGGTTGACCTAGCATTAAAATCCTTTGACATGATTTCTTTTTAGTAGAAAGTGTTAGGGCTGGTAGAGTGGCTCAAGTAGTACAGTGCCTGCTTTGCAAGTGCAAGACCCTGAATGCAACCCCCATTCCACCAAATAAAGTTCTACATTTGCATCAACTAACTTCAGATATAAGATATGCATAAAATAATATGTTGCCAATGAAATATGACAAATCTAATTTTTAACTTCCACATGTGTAGTCAGTTTTTTTCTTAGAATTTCTAGATAACTTGTGATCACCTTTATGCATAATTGTTGTGACAACTGATCTCAGGCTGTGATAGGCAGGCTCATTATTAAGGGAGGCTTTGTTTTCTGCACTGTACTTCCTCTGCCCTCAACCGCACAAGACTGTTCTTGTTTTCACATGTCTTATGTCCCTGGGGACTGAGTTAAAACTGTGACTCTAAAAGTTGGGGACAGGCCAGGATATATAGGTAAGATTTTGCTGAAGAAAAATACACTAATTTAAAGTAGCCTTTAAAAGACTCAACCCATAAGTCCTGCCTCTGGGTCTTTTAGGTCATTTGCTTTCATTTCACCAAGAGGCTCTTGTGACCTTTGCTTTCCCACCAGCACCAGCACCAGCACCCTGAGTGCAGCCTAAGCCCTTGGAAAACCCTTCAACATCCAGCAAAATTGCCATTACCAGTTTCTTTCCTACTAAGAGTAACTCTGGTCTGTTGAGTGAGAATGATTCAAACTATGATTTATTCACCAATCAATGTTTATTGAACAATGACTTCACCAGGTTGTGTAAGGCAGTGCACACCCCAAAGTGCTTGTCCTTGTGGGTAACACACTCCAGTGTGGAGAGACCAGCACAAACAAGTAAGGAGGAATTGCTGTGTGAGACTAACACTCCTAAGAATACTCCTTTTCAACACCTTAGACACTTAATGTACTGTCAAGTGTTAGAAGAGCATGTGTCATTAATTCAGCCATTTAACCATTTGTCCTTAGGGAGGACACCTCTCACCAGCACGGAAAGGTCTGATGTCTACTTCTTCTACCCACTTCTACCCACGTCATGCCTTTCTTCAACTCTTCTCTAGTGCTTCAGACTCCCTGACATTGAAGAATTTTCCAGTAAAACGATGCAGGACAAAGCCAGTGTGCACTGAGCTTTGTGCATGGCTGATGGAGGAGGAGTCACTGAAAGGACACTTTACAGGCCATGCTTACTTTCCTTAGCCTCTAGGATTTTTTTCTTTTTTCTGATGCCTTTTGAGTTGAATCCTGTAACAACAGTGAATTAGGGGAGCTTATTATTCTTATGAAGATAAATAGCTCATTAGAGACAAGCTGTATGATGGCTCAAGCATAGGTTAGCATCTGTGTTTACCTATTTTTTTTTTTTTTTGTGTGTGGTGATGGGGATTGACCTCAGGGCTTTACACATGCTAGGTAAGCACAGCTCCAATCTTGTTTATCTTTTTTGTTTTTTGTGGTACTAGTGTTTGAACTCGGCCTTGTGCTTGCTAGGTGGGTGCTCTATCACTTGAGCCCTGCCCCCAGCTTAGTGCATTTACACACTTCTCTTGCAGAGAAGCGTAAACATTACCATGCCCATGTGCCATAAAAAAGAAAAGTTAGAATCCAGACAGAAAGCCTTTGTCCACTTGCAACTACATTCTTTCAAACTTGAGAATATCCTCTTCTCTTTTCTCCTTCTTATCTCCCGGCAACCCATGATAGATCCATGATATTATCTGTTTATAGTTTGCTAGATCTTTTGAACAGGACCACCATAGTTGCTGCCTGTGTTGTGCTATAAAACCCTGATTTTGAGGCATCCAGATAGCCTGAATTTTTGAGAGCCTGCTTATCCACAAAGTGTAGCCAAAGAAACAGCAGTTTTCTAAGTATTTTTAGAAGTAGTGACATGAATTTTCCTCTGGTTCATTCAAGTTTCATGTTATGACCTAGGTGTAAAATCTTGAAACATCTGAATAAAACATTCACTGTGTACTTGTCTGAATTCTCTTTATCCTCACAGGAAGCAACAATCAAAGTAATGTGGAGAGTATTCAAGACGTGGGATTAAGTTCCCTTTCTCCCAAAGAGCTCTCCTTCTGTCAGAGCTGGCAGCAAGGTGCAGGCAGGTTAACTACTTGTCAAGATTCCATGAAAAACTTTCTGGGTAAGGACTTTGAGTTTCAAAGCCAAGGTGATTCTCCCTGCCAGATTTGGGCAGGCTTTCCAATTCAGATTTCCGAAGATGGGAACTATATATTGCCTCATCTTGGGGATCATTCCAGTTGTATAACAAACCAAGAGTATTCATCTCTGAGAGCCCAGCAGGCCTGGAGGAAAACGTGTCTGGTGGAGTCACAGAGTTGTCAGTGTAAATGTCATCAACTTTCCATGAGAAATAATGTCTGTAGCTGTAATGGTGTCAGTTGGATCTCACATCACAGTGGTAATCTGGGAGCACACAGAAGTGGAAATGGCTACAGTTTCCATGATTGCCAAGAAGACATCATGAAGGAATTGTTACTTAATCAGGACTCGATTAGAACTGGGCAGAAGCCCTGCTCACGCACTGAGTTTAGAAGACCCTTCACCAATGACCACAGCTCTGAAGTCCATCAGCAGTTCTGCTTAGCAGGGAAGCCCCATACATGCACTCCATTCGAAAAGGGCTGTAGTTGCAGGCCAGTTCTTCACATCTGTCATAATGTTGAGAGAGGAGAGGAAGACGTTGTCAAGGATTCTCATCTGCAGTCCCATTGGAGCTCAGATGCAAAGGGGAAACCATGCAGATGTGGTGAGGATGGTGAGAATGTCAGTCAGGATTCCTCTCTTACTCGTGGACTCACCCGCACAGGAGAACTGCCCCAGGGGTGCAGTATTGATGAGAAAGCCTTCAGCTATAGATTAGACCTTAGCAGTATTTTTAGGGGTACTAGGGAAAACCCTCCCAACAAATATGAGAATGAGAATGTTTTCAATCTGAGTTCATTTCTTCAGTTCATCAGAAAACTCACACTGAGGAGAAACTATACCCAGGTGTGGAGTGTGGGAAGGGTTTCATTTGTAGTTCTAATCTTAACATTCTGCAGGGAGTTCACATGGAAGAGAATCCCTATAGTTCTGAGGAATTTGGTAATGACTTCAGCCTGTCCTCAGAGTTTCAGGATTTTCAGATGGTCCACTCCAGGGAGCAGTCATATAAACGTTATGTATGCAGCAACAGCTTCAGTCGAAATTCCTATATTCAAAACCAGCAGAAAATTCACATTAGAGAAAAACCTTACAAAGAGTGTGGGAATGGCTTCAACTGGAATTCAAAACTTAAAGATCACCCACGAGTCCACACTGGACAGAAGCCATACAAATGCAACATGTGTGGCAAGGGCTTCAGCCATAGATCGGTTCTTAATGTTCATCAGAGAGTCCACACAGGAGAGAAACCCTATAAATGTGAAAAGTGTGATAAGGGCTTCAGTCGGAGTTCATACCTGCAGGCCCACCAGAGAGTTCACACTGGAGAGAAACCATACAAATGTGAGGAGTGTGGGAAGGGCTTCAGTCGGAATTCCTATCTTCAAGGCCATCAGAAAGTTCACACTGGAGAGAAACCATATAAGTGTGAACAGTGTGGTAAGGGCTTCAGTCGGAGTTCACACCTTCAAGGCCACCAGAGAGTTCACACTGGAGAAAAACCATTCAAATGTGAGGAGTGTGGGAAGGGCTTCAGTTGGAGCTTTAATCTTCAAATTCATCAGCGGGTTCACACAGGAGAAAAACCCTACAAATGTGGAGAGTGTGGGAAAGGCTTCAGCAAGGCCTCTACTCTTCTGGCCCATCAGAGAGTCCACACAGGAGAGAAGCCCTACCAGTGTGATGAATGTGGTAAGAGCTTCAGTCAGAGATCATACCTTCAAAGCCATCAGAGCGTCCACTCTGGAGAGAGGCCATATATATGTGAGGTGTGTGGGAAGGGCTTCAGTCAGAGAGCATATCTACAAGGTCACCAGAGAGTCCACACTAGAGTGAAACCATATAAGTGTGAGATGTGTGGAAAGGGCTTTAGTCAGAGTTCACGCCTTGAAGCCCACCGGAGGGTCCACATAGGAGGGAAACCATACAAATGTGAGATGTGCACCAAGGGCTTTAGTGAGAGTTCCCGCCTTCAGGCACACCAGAGGATCCATGCAGAAGGGAGACCTTATAAATGTGAACAGTGCGGTAAGGGTTTCAGTGGGTACTCAAGTCTTCAAGCCCACCACAGGGTGCACACTGGGGAGAAACCATACAAATGTGAGGTGTGTGGTAAGGGCTTCAGTCAGAGATCAAACCTCCAAGCTCATCAGAGAGTCCACACAGGAGAGAAGCCCTACAAATGCGATACTTGTGGCAAGGGTTTCCGTTGGAGCTCAGGTCTTCTGATTCATCAGAGAGTCCATAGCAGTGATAAATTCTATAAAAGTGAGGCATACAGTAAGGGCTATCCTTTGTCAGAGGATCTGCATTGAAACAAAGGTGTGAATGGGTGTTCTGGTTTCTTTTGAGGTCCTCAAGCAGAAACAGGTTATCCAGTCACCAGAGTTTATTTACTAGAAAAAAAAAAGGGTTTTTAAAAAATGAAAATGTAATTTTTCTATCCAACTTCAACATTTAGGATGATTCAGAGACCACAGGCCAGGGGACTTTTTCTTCTTTTTTTTTTTCTTTCAAAACTTGACTATGCCTTTGCACACAAGCCAGGATTTAAAAACATAAATATGGTCCAGGACTTAACAAAAATAGAATGGCAAACATGCCCAACTCATGTCCACCACAGTACAAGCCTGATGACACACAGGGCTTCGTTCATGGCTGGGGTTACAAACCATCACATTTCAGAACTCGAAATAGTTATTCAGTACTTTTTATAAAATGAATAAAAGTATGGAAAGGTATAATTAAAAACTTCAATTAAGTTCATTTCAAAACTCATTTAAATTGGATTTGGAGGCTGAATCTTGCAAATAGTTTTACTGCAAGTAAATAAATATTTGAGATGTAGAACATAGCAGTTTTGAAATCTGAATCAACATAAATTTGATTGAATCAACATAAATTTGGTTGTAGCCCTATTGGGATTGGTTCCTATTCTTTGTCCTATCTAAAGCAGAAATGTACTGAATTGCTTAAAATTTGCTCTCTTTTTACACAATATAATACCAATTTAAGTTTAGCTTTGTGTGTGTGTGTGTGTGTGTGTGTGTGTGTGTGTGCCTGCGCACATAGACGTGCACTTTAAATGGCAGTATAAACTGATAAAGTTTCTGGCTAACTTTGAAATAATAGAATGCTGCATTTTACATGGGTGAGTTTTTATTCTGCCTGTGTGTTAAAGCAGAGTTTTCCTGTAACATTTAGAAAGTGTCAGAAGTGGTTACTGATGACAAATACTTTTTAATAAATATCAAAGTCGTAGTGCTTGGTTTTTAATCTCCACAGTTACATTCAAGTCCAGTTGTTCTGAGTGATTTCTAAGTGTAGCCTATTCCATTTAAAGAAATCCAAATCTTCTTAGGCAGGGACAATGGCGAGTTTGAAGGACTTCAGGTTCTCCATCCCTGTTATTTTTTCACTCACATTGGAAAAATCTTAAGAATTTGAAAGCATTTTGTCAAATGTTTGATTACTAGGATAGTGACACCACATGGTTGCTAGTCTACCTTCTCTTTGTTGGTGGGAGTGAAAAATACAAGCTCATATTTGTCAGTATCTGCATGTACGGTCTCACATCACCTAACCACAGGGTCGCATTCTGAGAAGTGTGTTTCAGGGCACTTGCATTGTTGTGTGAACAACATAGTATACTTAACACAAACTAAGATGTTCACAACATAACTGTGATATCATTTTAGGGGACTGGCATAATACATGCAGTCATTGCAATGTTACGTGGTGCATGACTGTGTCAAGGTGTAAACTGTGCACGCCCATCTGGAAATCATAGAATAACAATTTGTGATTAAGCAGTTGTAACAGAAAGGATTATACAATGAAGGCAATTTTTAAAACTGGAAATAATCTGCCAATAGGAATTTGGAAAACTTTATGTTTCTGTACTGTGGAGCTACAGGAAGTATGGAATAGATCTGAAATGACACCATGAAATATGCATGGTACAGGACCATGCATATTTAGTGAAAAATGTGGATCATACCTTTACAATATTCCAGTTAAGATAGCTACATCTGTCTTTTCACACTTATTAATATGTTAAAGATTATGCAGCATTATGAGTACAATAGTTTGATAAGCAGAGTTTTGGCATAGTTTTTTCTTTTTTGTAATTTATAATGAACTGTGAAAGCCAGGCAGTCCTGTAATCCCTGTACTTGGGATGCCAAGGCAGGAGAACCATGAGTTTGAGGCCAGCCTGGACTACATAGTGAGACTATGTTTCAAAGCAATAAACAAAATTATAATGAACATTTACCAGTTTTATCAAAGTAATGAGTAACTGCTGAGCTTATATTTTAGAACTTATAGAATTTATGCTTTAGAACTCCTGACATGGCTGCTCTATTTTATTATATGGCATTATGGCCTAAATTAAAGAATAAAACCCCTGAAGTTAATTTTCAAATGTTCTTAGTTTTTTTGAAGATAAAAATAAATTAGGTCTGTCTGTGAATTTCTTTAGTTCTCATTGTTGTAGCCTAGGATGTCCAGGTGTAATTCAGTAGTGTAAGTTGATGTATCACAGTTTTTTGTGTCAGCTTTCCACTAAGGTGGGCAAGGCACTGGCTTAACCTGGCCTGTAAGGTACTAGCTCAGTCGCACAGTATGCTGAGTAATCCAGGGATTCTCAAAAAGGCCAAAAAAAAGTATGGTCAACATAGCTGAGAAAAGTGTCAGAGAACCTGCATATTGGTCAATAGAAATCACCCAAACTAAAACACAAAAGCAAAAGGTGCAAAGAAAACAAGAGAACACCCCAGAATTGGATAACTGTGTAGTATCTAGTATACTGATGTAATTGGAAACTCAGGGTAGAGAGAATAGGAAGAAAAGATATTTGAAGATGAAAAGGCTGAAAATTAAAAAAAAAAACAACAACAAAACAAAAAACCAAAGAACTCACATAGATTCAAGAATCTAAAAAAATTCAGGCAAGATTTAAAGCAACTAGGAAATGACAGACACATTACGGACTAACAGCTGAAAGTGTACAATGCTAAAAAAAATTGGTGGCAGGGAAAAACGGATGAGAAAAGCAGCAACTTCTCATCAGAAACCATGCAAGCAGAAGACAATGGAGTGACATCTTTAACATTTTGAAACAATCACTGTTAATCAAAAATTCTAAGCCCAATAGAAAACATATTTCTAAAAGTATGCAGAATGAAGACATTTTCAGATGTACAGAAGCTGATATAATTCAGTACTAGCAGATCTGCACTACAAGAAATAATAAGTAGGAATGATGGAACAGATCAGATCAAGTGGTAGAGCACCTGCCTAGCAAGTGTGAGGTCCAGAGTTCAACCCCCCAGTACCACCAAAAAAAGAGAAATATTAAAAGGATGTCTACCATCTGGAAAAATACCATATCACAATAGTCTTGGATCTACCAAAAGAAATAATCGAAAATAGCTAAAATGAAGGTAAGTACAAAATAGCTTATAAAATATGCTAAACACTCTTAAAGTACAATTCACAAAGCAAAGGTAAGGGGCTGGCAGAGAGGCTCAAGTCATAGAGCTCCCGCCTAGCAAGGATGAGGCCCTGAGTTTGTACCCCAGTATTGCTCCCCCCATAAAAACAAGCAAAGATAAGAATGAGGACTTAGTTTGTAACATATGCAAAAAATGTAAAAATACTACAGGACAGGGGGGATAGAAGTTGGAAGTATATAGTTATATTCTGCACATTGCATGATATTTGAAGGTATACTATGAAAAAATATACATGTTTATTTTAAGCCTTGGAGGAACTAACAAATTTTTAAGTGGTGTGACTCATAAACCAAGAGTAGGGGTAAAATAGAACTATAAAAATTACTTAAACCAAAAGCAGACAGAGAATGAAAGAAAGACAAATGGTACAAATAAAACAATTTTCATGATGAAAATTTTCAAATTTTCATTGGTTCAAATCCAATGATGTCAATAATTACATTAAATGTAAATGTAAACATGACACTTAACACAGAGATTGTCAAGAGTGGATAGAAAAACAGCCTGATTATGTGCTATATGCTGTTTTCTACAAGTAATCTTTTAAAAATACAAATATGTTAAAAGTCTAAGGACAGAAAAAGGCATACTATATCAAAACCAATCTAAAGAAAGCTGCATTAATATTAACAAAGTCATATCATGGAACGTCACCAGCCATACACCAGGAGGAGACAATCCTAAATGTGTATATACAGGGCTTCAAGATGCACAAAGCAAAAGCTGATAGAAAACCACAATTACAGTGGAGAACTCAGTACTCTTCTCTTAGTAACTGATTAAAACAAGGAAACAGAAAACCAGGAAGGATGTACAAGACTTGAATAAAAGATGACTTGTTTGACACTTAGAGGACATTTCATCCAGTGATGATTGAATACATATTCCAGTGTTGGCTTCAAGTATATTTGTAGCATTCACCAAAATAAATGTGCTGGGGCATAAAATAAATCATACCAAGTTTAAAAGTCATGCAAAGCATTACTCTGACCAAAATGGAATTAAACTAGATTTCTAGAAACTTTCCACCCATAGACAACACAAAATGTTATTAAAACTGCAAAATTTCCCACTTCCAAATATTTGAAAGTTCAGCAGCCTGTTTCTAAGTAAGGTCTGTGTTAATGAGAAAATAAGAAATGTGAAAATAAGGGCTGGTGGAGAGGCTCAAGTGGTAGAGTGCCTGCCTAGCAAGCCTGAGGCCCTGAAATCAGACCTTAGTGCTGCCAAAAAAATTATTCAACAAAAATGTGAAAATAACATGAATTCAAATGATAACAGTGTATCAAAATCTGTGGGATGCAGCTACAGAAATTCTTGGAGGGAGATTGATAACATTGAATGAACGTGGTAGAAATCATGAAAGTTCTGAAATTAGTTATCAAAACTTCCACCACGAAGAGCAAATTAAGCCCCAGGAAAGCGGAAGAAATAAAAAGGCAGAAATCAATGAAAGCAACAATAGAATGTGAACAGAGAAAATCAGTGAAGCCAAAAGTTGATTCTTTGAAAAAATTAATAAAAATGAAAACATTTCTAAGCAGACTGATTAAAAACAAGGGAAGCCACAAATTACCAGTACCAACAATAAAGTAGTCACCGTAGATCCCTTGATACCAATAAACATTAGGGACTTACATTAGGGAACATTAGGAAGATGACATTTTGTCAGTTAGGCAAAGAGTTTTTTCTTTAACATGATCCATATAAGGAAATTTGATAAAGTTGACTTCAGCAAAATTAAAAAAAAATCAAAACAACTCCTTAAAAGACACTTAAGAAAGTATGAAAGTTTC